ATCAAATTGTATAGTAAGTCATTTCCTTGTATTGGTATGAGATTTAAATTTCTATTTTTAGTGATGTTTACTTGTTATTCTATTTTGCTATTGTTCTTCATATGCATTTGGATTTGATTAAATCTTATATTTTCTATTATGTCTAATTGCAGTGTGATTTCTGATTGTAGCGTAATTCTGTCAGCACCGTGATTTCCAGGGGACTTGTGGTTTCTTTAATCCTTAACTTTTATTCTAATTATTTATTAGGCGACAATTAAATTATCGTGTGAATTTTATGTTTTCTCTTTTCATTGAAAGCAAAAATTATTTAAAATAATGCCACGTAAACTGTAAATTTTGATTCCATATATGTGATTATACAGATTCTGGATCCTAAGATGTCCTTGATTAAATAGGTTACAACGCACTGTTCAAACTCTATTTACAAAGATTTAGCCATGATAGAATCAACAACTATCATTTTTTTTTTTAAGGAATTTAGAGCCAAGAAGATATTAAAAACATACGCTAACAACTAAAGATGATGTACAGACTGCTGCTGCTTCTAACGGTGATGTTCAGGTGTTATTCTGAGCTAGTTGTGGAGCTTGTAATGGGGTGCTGATAATTGGAAGAAATTGTAGCTTGGTGCGGAAAATGAAATTAAATCCTAGCTTGGAGCAACAATGATAATGGTAAACATATTCTAACCTTTAATAGTAAAAATTAGTAAAATAATGATCTGCTTATAACTGAATTGCTGCATATTTTTTGAGAGTCAGCTCTAATGTCTTATTATACGAGATGACAGAGATGCATCCTGATGCTGTCATGATATTGTTGAAGAAGGGAAGGGTTGTGATCTCGGACACCAGAGGGAAAGCAAGATTGGCTGAAGTGAGGAAGGTCATGACATAAATTCTAGTCAATCTTCTTAATGAGGGAGATGTAATCTAGCAGATCAGGGGGTTCCAACTTGGCCCTTTCAAGACTTATTAATGATATAAATTACTTTAAAAACTTGAGAAATGAACTAAATTTTACTGGAGTGATCAAGGAAATTGTTTAATTAATTTAGGTAATTAAGAAAAATCTAACGTTATATTAATTAAGGAAATTTTTATTAATTAATCATATTTATCATTAAAAATAAATGCCAACTGCCATTGATATTCTGCAGCTTCTAGTTAAACTAACAACAGTCTTTAGTGCTTTACCATAGTTAGTTGCGTTTGTTATTTGCCTTTTCTTAATGCTTTTGCAGTTAAACCTCTTGGCATAAGTTTGTCTCACTTCTTGTCTTTGCTATGATTTCATCTTAAGCTCTCTCACTAACCCGTATTGCCTTTAATTTGTTCTGTAAAAACATTTAGCGCACAACACCCAATTCCTATCTATTTACATATCTAACATCAACTTTTTCTTTTTACAATTTTACCTCCCAAATCTTTCATTTCGCGTCAAAAATACCACCAATTTAACTTTTAAAAAATGAAATAGACTTTTTATGCATATGTAAGGTATGTATGTAAAAATTGATGGTTGGCTGTTGAATATGTAAATGCATAGGAATTAAGAGGTACGTATATAAGCCATCCAAACATTAACTGCAGATTCATGCATGAACCGCTGTCATGGTTATGTATAATAATATTTTTCCATATCCTGATCTTAGAATTTATGATGAACTCGTCAAATCCATGTTCACCATTTGTTACTTTTATTAACTTCTAGGCTGCTGTTTTTTTTTTAATGCATAAAATTATATAAAAACTGCGTCTTGTTGTTGTGGGTGTGAATCGAGTGTCAAAATTTGAATAGTAGGATATTGGTAACTTTGGTTTTTCATTATTTTTATATTTCTGAGAAAGCAAAAGGGTGGGTCTGAGCTTATGTAAGTCACTATTTGCTATGCATCAAGGAAAATAAATGTTGATAAAGACAAGCTGAACTTATTAAAGATATAGGGTGAGTTTGGGGCGGCAGTGCGGTGGCGATGGCGGTGTGGTGTCGCACCGTAGTTTTTTCTATTTGATAAACTGTGTTTTGCCTGGGTTCCACAATCGAGTTATATTAAGGATTGACATAAATTCATATGTTTTTTAATCTGTAGTGGAAATGCTTATAAATGATAATCAAAGTGAGATAATTTGACAATTCAATTTGGTGAGAATTCTGTTGAAATAAAAGAAAAGTTGGAATAAGTCGAGAAGGCTTAGCATAAAATGAGAGGATTAGTAGAATATTTTGGTAGATTTAGTGGTTTTATATGGTTATCAATCAATATTAATATATATGACAAAGGTTCCTAGTTATGATAAATTTAAATTTCGTGAGAAGATTATGAGGATAGATGAGGATATGAGCCTTGGAGTTTATGCTAGTTAGTTAAAATGGAAGTGTCTTAAGTGCATTATCTGCTGATAGAATATCCTGGTGACTTGATGATTAATTTTTGAAATTTTAATTAAACATGCTGTGCTGTATTGACATTATTGTTGTGTGGTCAAGTCAATGATTGTTAAGTTGATTGTATAAGAAATACAAAATGTTATGATGAATGTATGAAAAAACTAGAATTGGTATATTCAGAAAAGATTTTATGAGGTGGATTATGAGAATAGCATCTGTTGAAAATAAAATGGTGGGTAACTAACTTTTATTTGATTTGAACTTTGATAATGGAAGAAAGAAACATCTTGTCGAGGAATAAAAAAAGAGAAAAGGTAAACTAAAAATAACGTGGATTTAACTTGTGCATTAAGATTTAAATCCTTATGCAACGGTAACTATAATTGAATAATGAATGGGATTTATAAAGTTGGTCCCAAATAATTGGAATATTGGTGATTGTTCTTATGAAATAATCACACAATTATGGAAATTTAAGAAAATAGTCCATCGGATTGTAGATAACAAAGAATAGAAAATTAAATGTAATTCTAATGAAATTTAAATTTACAAATCAGTCAAATTACAAGAAGACTAAGTGATACATTGGTATGATAATGTTAAGTGCCTTGGATCTATCATTTAAAAGAATACTGATGGGAAATTCTGCCAAATTAGAGCAAATTAATTTATTTTTCTTCGATAATACCAATGATAAAACTGGAATATATGAAGATAAGCACCTACAATTTGAGAGGTAGGCGTTTTCTCCCAAATCCTACAATTCGAAAGGTAGAAAATCTCTCCAAAACCTTGACCATTAGACTCAAGACTCAATCTCATGCATAATTCTAACCCTAAGTATATTAAGCCCTATTTATACTAAACAATAATAAATAATAAAAGACTAAATTGCCCTTAGGTTAGACACCAACAAAACAATACTCTTCTCCCAGAAAGACATATTGACATCAAGGTGGGAAAAATTGTTGGATCATTTTGTATGCTTCCCATGGTCTGTCGTCATCTGGCAATTCTTTCTATTTAAACAGAAATTCGTAGAGACCCTCAGGAATTCAAAATGTCGTTTTTGGATGCATCTGAATCGGACGGTGTCCTGACTTCCGGTCAATCTTAGAGAGAAAATCACAACACCAAATAACTCATCCTGTAGCTTATCAATCATCGAAATCTCTGTCAACTATATAACATTTATTTTTTCCATCTTTATCAACTTCGATCCTGCTTGCTCTTGTTTGTTCAAACCATCCGAATGTCGCGCTATTTCTTCTAAGTGTTGACGCTCAAGTTTGCTCTTGATTTCTTCGCTTGATATTGTAGCTCCCGGTCCTTCTAAAGCAGTGATGCTACCCTGATGTCGTGCAATTCCTTTTGGTTGTTGCTACTAGCGTCTATTCCTGGCATCGTCGCTTGATCATGCAACGGATGGAGGTGGTTTTATGTGAAAATCCATGATCTTCTTCATTATTTCTTTTAAGGTCTTGAATTTTCTCTCGATCTCCCCTCCATGGATGAGAGACATCTGTCTATTTCAGAATTAATTTGGCTTATCTTTTTCTCTAATGTTTTGTCCAGACCATATATTCTTGTGGTCGTTATTATTCCGAGGATGAACTCGGATCAGAAATCGTCATTGCATCGCAATATTAAGTTAATCAATGTTTTCTATGTCCTTGCTTAATCAATATTGTTATATTGCTTTAGTCGCTGCCAACTAGCTTGAATCATGACTTTTCTATAATTAGGGCATGTCGCAATCCCAAGCAACGATTGAGCAGAGTGGAGAGGAAAGTGTTGTGTGGGCTTTAGAGACATGAGAGGCATGAGGTTTTGCGGATCGGGCACGTCGCGGTAGCTTCGTAGCACACACCATGATCCCTTTTCTTTTCAGCACACACAACGATGTCATCATTGTCGTACCATCTAGAGCGGATCACTTCCTTTGATTGCATTGTATTGCGAGATTCCTGTATGATGTTGCGATCCTTCTGTGCGCACATGCCAAACCCATCGTTCATTTGTTCGATCCCGCTGCAGGCTTACGCGACTGTATCCTTGTACCGTATGCCCATTGCAAGCTTCCTCTTATAAGCTGCGATCCTTTTATAAGCCACTATCCTTTTTTCTTCCTCCAACTCATTTTTCTTCCAAGATCAAATGCTTTGATATCATATGATATGAAATTCTATCGAAATTAGGGCAAAGCAAATTATTTTTCTTCAGTAACACCAACGGTACAACTATAATACATAAAGATAAGCTCCTACAATTTGAGAGGTAAACAATCTCTCCCAAATTCTATCATTCGAGATGTAGGAAATCTTTCCCAAATCTGTAAGGGGCTGAGTGTGCTGATTAATTTCACAAAAACATTTATGACTGCTGAAATAAATCAGGTTTATTTGAGATAAGGCCTTTGTTTGATGCAGTGGAAATGTCATTGGGACTCTTTTTGAGTTTCTATGTTAATTATTGCATCATGCATAAAATGTACAGTCAATGTTTTTCTCTAACTATGCTCTGTCGTTCTTTTTTTCATTGATATCCACAACTGGTTGAAAAAAATCTTAACTTTTGCTTGATACTTTCTTTCTATTTAATTCTAGATTATGCCGTAGTAGAGAAGCCTACTTTGGATGTATGGATGCAAGGGGGGCTTGACTACATTATTCTTAAAACTTTGAGCATAGATGGAATCCGCACTATTGGAAGTGTTCTTGGTCAGAGCATTGCCTTAGACTACTATATCCGGCAAGTATGTCCCGGAAATTTCTCTAAATAGGGGCATTTACATACATACCACACAATTCTTCTGTATTTACATTTTTAACACCTAAATTTTCATATTAACGTAGGTACACTCAATTCTTTAACATCAGATCAAAAGTACCACTATCAGTTGCCTTTTAAAAATGAAATACATTTTTTCATTAATAAGTTTATGACGTCAAAGTGTTATAATTATAAATATGAAAGTTTAAGTATAAGATATGTAAATACATAAGAATTGTGGTAACTGATATGTACGTAAATTTCTCTAAATTAATATACTGTGAACAGTTTAAAGGAGTATGTATGACTTCAATTCACCATCTTGTTTAGGTTGATGGAATGGTTGCAGAATTCACTGATATTAACCGAGGCATGGAAAAGACCGGCACCTTTACCATGCAAAGGAAGAAACTTTTTCAGTTGGTTGGAAAAGCAAATTCAAACATGGCAGATGTCATCCTTAAACTTGGGCTTTTCGAGAGGTAATATTGGTATTCCCATTCCCAGTTGCTCTCTTCATCCAATTTTTAAAACAAATAAAAAGAAAATTTAAAATAAAAAATAAAAAATAAAGCATATGTTTTGGGAATTTCTTAAACAAAGACGCACACATCTGCTACATACATATACTTGAAATCTTTCTGGGCTTATGGGAAACACAGGATCCAAATCCACGCCGCCAAATTAGTTTCACGTCTTCCTATCTTTACAGGACAGATATTGCTTGGAGAAATGCTAACTATGCCCAGATTTGGGAATATCTTCGGGATGAATACGAGCTGAGTCAAAGGTTTGGAAACCTTGATTTTAAGTTGAAGTTCGTTGAGGTAAGTTGAATGAAAAGGCATTTCCTTTTCTTTTAATACTACTGCAATCATTTACATCCACTTTATAGTCTATTTATTTGGGACGATTTACATACATGCCATTCAATTCCTATATAGTTACATATCTAACACTTAAACCTTAATTTTTAAATATATGCCACTTTAGCCATGCATGAATAGATGCATTTCACTTCTAGTTAAAAAGTGACATTTTCTATGCAGTATGAGAGAGTTGGGTGGTGTCAATCTAAAAGTGAAGTTTAGTTTTTTGATATGTAAATACATAGGAATTGTGTGTTATGTATGTAAGTGCTCCCCCTTTATTATTATTATCCAAGGCTTGGATATAAATTTTTTTCTTTTCTTTTCTGTTTTTTTCTTTGGCGTGCAGCATAATATTCGATTTCTTCAGGAAATTCTTGAGAACAGGAAATCAGTATTTTTGGAGTGGCTTATTATTGTTCTGATAGGTGTGGAAATCCTGCTTTCTGTTTTCAGTATTGCTCAGGGATTATGAGCTCTCTCTCCTATTAAGCATATGAAATTAAGCTTAAAGGTCAGTCTTAATATCATTTCCTTTCTCTTATATTTTTTGGCCATTCTTATGTATAAATTTGCGTTCACCTGGCAAGCTTAGCTTTTGATCCAATTTCAATTTAATTCGATTTAGGATTGTAGTGTGGCTTCTACTGAATCTCACCATACAACTTTGAAGCTCGGTAGGCAAAGTGCAAGAATAGCTATACTTACTATACTCTTATTATCATGTATATATTATGCATTTGAGTAATTGATGTTGTATTCCATTTTCGCGGCTCGGTTTGCACATCAGGTACATATGCAAGTGTGCATTGTGCTTTTAGTTGAATTCATCAGAAGGGATTGTGTAGTTCTCTAGTAAGAGTGCGCTTACTTGCTTGCTTCTCTCTAGTCAATGCTATAATTCCATATCCAATGATTTATTAATTAAAAATGTATCTTTATTAATGTTATCTAATTATGTAAAAAAATATTGTATAATTAAAAATAATGTATTTACGTTATTAGCTTGTTAATTATATGAACATTCTGAAAATAATATGTATATAATGATAAAATACAAAAGGTTATCATTTTATTATGTGTTAGAATATTAGTAGTGGTGGAAGAAGTAATCTCCTGGGTTACCTCGACAGAATGTCGTTTGGATGCCAACTTTGCAAACGCATATTGCTAAAGCTGGCGGAAAGTAGGCCACAGGATCGACCCCGCTACCCCGTGTTCGTCCCGCTAATATTACCTATTGCCTCGCGATCCCTATTGTCTCGCAAAACCTCCCCGTCTTCTGCCCTAGCATCCCACCTGGTGTTCCTGAGCCTTCTCACGAAGCCCCCTGCGCCTGCTTCTTCTTCAATCAAGAACGAAGCCCAAACTAGGTAATCATAAACTCTCTTCTTCGCTTGCTTTCAACCTCTCCTCTCAGTTGCTTTGATTTTGGGTTATAATGCTTGAGAGAAGGTCGAGCTCTTTGAGTGTGGGTGACTTCTCCTCATGGAAGCTAGCTTGATTAGTGAGTTTGTGAGGGACAAATGGAGAGTATTTTGGGGGTGGGGGATTCTTAGGCGTACTAGTTGCGGGGCTTGTGGTGGTAAATTTGCGGTAAGTTTTCAGACACCTCTAAATGCTAGTTGATTGAAGTAATTTGCGGGGCGTATAAGTTGGCTAATATTTCTTGTTTCTGAAAATAAAGATAGGAAAATTTTTGTTTCTAAAAAATAAACTATCAGCAAAAAATTAATACTGAAAAATAGAAAACATGGTTTTGTGACTTCTTCTTGATTAACATGGTCACCACTTTAGGATTCTCGAGTGTTGGACTCTGGCTTGATTTGGATCACTTATGACTGCATTGATGGCACAACTTATCCACACAACAAGAGTAATGGATGCCCCTGTTCTCACCTTTGGAAATCACAATGATCAACTCATATGACATTGATTTCAAGTGTTGGAATCAATTTTGGCCTAGTCCTCTCCACAATGATTTCAAACTTACAACAATCTTTTCTGTTGCTTTTTTGGATTTCATTGATTTGTTTTATTATAGTAATAAAACGGATAATAAAACTAAAGAAGTTTCCACACCGACATTGCGGGAAAAATAAATGAAAATAATATTTTATGACATTTGTCTCAAAGAGATTGAACTGAGAAGTAGACCTATAACCTATTTCTCTAAGGAAGGATGACAAAATATTATCAGAAATTTCAAGGAATGTACGGGCAGGGAGTATGACAGGTTGCAAATGAAGAACAAGTGGGAGCAACTCAAGAAGGATTGAAAGATTTGGAAAAAATTGAAACGAGGGTCAACGGGCATGCGCTGGATCCAGTGATGCGAACAATTGATGCACCCGAGGAGTGATGGGCTGAAAGACTTGCGGTGAACCTTATTCATAACTTTCGTTAATTTGTTAATTTATATTTTTTTCTTAATTGAGTTTTTATTAATTTCTTACTAGATGGTGCCCACAACAAATAAATTTAAGATTTTTGGAATTGAGCCTGAATTGAAGGAAAAACTCGACCGTAGGGGCGGGGGGGTCGATTGCAACGAGGAACTATGCATGTTACCCAAGCGAGACAGAGTTTATTGGTAATTTAGTGAATCTGGGAACCCCTGGAGGTTCAAGTGATTCCATTGAAGTCCCCAGTCCGGAGCAGAACAAATATGAGACCACTTCCTGTTCCAAGCGTCCAAGGGTTAACAATAAAAAAACCCCTGGAGGTTCAAGTGATTCCATTGAAGTCCCTAGTCCGGAGCAGAACAAATATGAGACCACTTCTTGTTCCAAGCGTCCAAGGGTTAACAATAAAAGAAAATCTGGTGTTGGTTTTTTGAGAAGCCAGATCTCTCAGCTTGTATCTTCTTACAATGCAGAATCTCAGGCTTCTCATTTAACCACTATCGAGCAGACACTTGAAACTCAATTTGATTCGCACGAAATTTATGAGAATGAAACATTGTATCTTTTCACAATAGAGTTGATAGATGATCAACTCCGTAAAAATATCTTTGTGAAGATGTCAGCAGCCCGGAGAGTGTCGCATCTTCAGTGTTTTTATAATCACTTAAATAATTGATATTTTTTATATTTTTTCATCGTAAGAGCATTTCAAATGCATTACCTTTGTTTTAATTTTCTAGAATTGTACTTATAAACTCTTTAGTACTTTTTTAATTATATGCAAACATATCTTTTTTTGTTTCTTAAACTTTTATGTTTTAGCAACTCATCAGTGTTTCTGGTTTAGTGTACAAGATACTGATCATCATGGATGCAAGTAGAAGAAGACATATATCGGTCAACATGAATGCAGGCAAAAGAAAGAACAGAGGGTTGTTGGTGACTGACTTATGCTTGATCTACGAGTAGTACAACTCATACATTGATCAGTCGTCATGCATGAAATCTTTATATATTGGCGACAAATAAGTTGGGGAGTTGATTGTGGGGCACCCAACAAAATTTAGTAATATGTTTCGAATGGGTCAGGAAGTATTCATTGATCTTTTGAAAGAAATCGTACAAGCTCACAGACCTCATGGATCTACCAGGACCACTTCACGTGAGGTGCTCTCAATAGCGTTGTACATATTTTCCCAGAATGAGTCTATGTGAGGGGCGTTGGAGCGATTTTAAAACTCCTTCGAAACAATTAATAGGTGTTTCTTAATCAGATTAAGCGCACTTGTTAGCATGTTCTCTCATGTTATCAATTCTAAGTTTGAGCAGACACACGTTGAGATATCACATGATGCACGATATATGCTCTTCTTCAAGGTAATGTCTCAAGAGCAATATAGTTAATTTTGTTGAAATTGTAATGTTATTTAATACATAACATCTACTTAACCAAGACTGCGTTAGAGTAATTGATGAAACACATATTGACGCACGCATCCCAAATAATGATATGGTTGCATTCATTGGTCGTTGTGGTAGCCCGACCCAAAATTTCATGGCCTTTTGCGACTTTAACATGTGTTTCACTTTCGTTATGGTTGGTTGGGATGACAACACACATGACAGTCGAGTTTTTAAATATGCGACGCAGAATGACAGTATCGACTTTCCACATCCACCTGCAGATACACTCGAGTTTGAGTCTATATAATACTTTAGTTTAATCTCCATACTAATTGCACTATTTATTAGAAAAATACTATTTGGTTGATGTTGGATATTCATTGCAACGAGAGACATGAGGCAGAAAAGAAATGTTCAATAAACAACATTCATCGTTACGTGGTGTCAATGAGAAAACTTTTGATGTGTGGAAAAAGAAGTGGGTGATACCTGTGATATGCCTTTTTACAAGTTCTCCAAGCAGACAATTTGTGTTTGCTATGATGACTCTTCACAATTACATTCGAAGACATCATTACCGTAGCGACATCGACTTTCATTTGGCGGAAGAGGATCAATGTCATGTACATGCAGAATCCTTTTAGTACCGTCTAAGACAGTCTTTGACACAACAGGACAATGAGGCTTTCACCACCTATACTGTAGACGGAGAAGGTGCAAGCGAGATGACAGAGTTGAGGGAACAAATTACTGATGCGCTAGTAGGGGGGATGATTGGAGAATTTCATATTTTATTACATGTAGTTTATTCAAATACTATAGTTTATTCAAAATGTTGCTAATATTAATTTTTGTCAAGCGCAATTTGTCATTTCTTAAGTTCAATTTTGCATATATGGTGTTGTTCATTTACGAAATTTTGGCTATGGTTTTAATGAATGGATATATGACGTTGCTTTTTTTTTGTATTTCGACAATATTGTATATATGGATTTTTTTTTAATGAACTCTAGCATAATAACAAGTTTCAGATTGCCTTAGAAAATGCTGTGGTGCCTATTCGATCAAATAACACATCACAAGAGCTTAGCCTAAAATAAGATTTCAACAATCACCAAGCTTCAATCTTTTTTTCCAAGATAAGAACATTATTTTCAGCTTCAAAAGCTGGAAAGCTTATTGCCAATGCTAACCACTTTTCTGGAATATATGAATTTTCATATCAATTGGATGGTAGGTATGTAAATTCCCTTAGAAGTAAAAGTTCATACAATAATCGATGTGTATGTCATGTGAAAAGTTCATTACATAACACCAAAGGTGTATGTCACTGGATGGTAGGTATGTAAATTCCCTTAGAAGTAAAAGAATAAACTAAGGTGTAAACAAAGAGTCCAAGCAAACTCCTTACCAAGGTGTAAACGGATTGGTATCGGTCTACTACAAGTCCTAGTTATGTTGTTATTGTTGTAATACAATCAGGTTCTTTGTAAATTACGGTGTAAAAAAAGAGTCTAATCAAGCTCCTTACCATTGTTTTATCCGTTTTGCTCAGTTGTTGATTTTAGTTTTACAGATATAGGAAGAAATCGAGTATATTGATATAATGATTAATTTGTGCAAACAAGTATTAAGATGCAGGAGCAGATCAAATAACAAAAGAACCAAGAGATAATTCAGGATGGATTTTCGATTTTGAATTATGTTCAGATGTATCCAGTTAAAAGGCAATTACAACGATTATAATTGTGAGTAAAATGTTTTAAAGAATTATCGTAAAGTGAACTGTATTTTGAGTTTGTATCAATGGATATGCCAATAGATACTTGATTCTTGGAGTTCTTTTAAAATTGATGTTCACTTTGGCCCGTTATTGCATCGAGATTTACATAAAAAATTCGCTAAGCTAAATCAAACATCGACAATTCAAAATTTTTACAATAGATTAAATGACTCTCAATCCAGGTTATGAATATTCATTCAACCATTCTTCAAAGGTGTTATGAATCAACACTATGATTTGATGTTCGGAGTAAATTACAGGCAATATAGCCCTAATCA